GAAGTTTCACAAGAAAAATCAGTTGATTCAATCATCAAAGAAGAACATAAAAACAGGCAGTGTCAAACTTGTAACAACAGTAAATTAACAATGTGACATTCCAGAATGTAATTTGTAAAAAGCTAGGTTAATTCACCAGCAAACAGCTTGTCCTTAGTAAACATTTTCTTTTTCACATACTTCCTACAGCAATTTCCTTAGCATATCTAAACAGCATTCAAGCAGTTTCCTTAACATATCTTAACAATCAGTAGGTTAAATAGTCAATAGTCATTCAAGCTGGAATCAAACCAGCAACCTAAAACAGTCAAAGGACACAATCCCATCCCTAAACAGTGATTAGAATTGATTAGATGGCTTTTGCCAACCATATCTGTGGACTTTCATCCCCTTACTCAAGAGCCTTTTGGCTCATTCATGCATTACCTAAAAATCCTATTCTAAGATCAAAGGAGAATCAAGATTTCTGACCCACTACATTTCCCCCCTTATTATTATAAAAGTCGGAAGTGATGAGGGAGTCAGAGTCAAAGGTGTTCTGATGAAGAACAGTCAGCATTACTTCAGCTTGACGAGTCCATTGGAACATGGAACATAACAGTTTAATCACTGTAAGAAAACATAAGATACGTAAAACACTAATTCCAGCAATAATCCAAATTCTTATATTTAAACCAGAAAACCAATGGGTAGGATTAAGCCAATGGGACAAATCATTTAAATGATTAATAGTAATCTTTTGAGCTTCTTCTTGAAGCTGTGTCATTTGTTGTTGAAGCTTGATTATTAAATTTTGAATATCTCCATGTAAATCAGAATGAAAAGCTTCATGTAAAAGTTTTTGTATATCTTTCCATGCAATGGGAGGAATTAAAAGGAATAGAAGTTATACACATGGAGCGATATTCTGCATCACAATTAAGCTGGCTTCACGTCCAGAGAGCTTGTCGGTGTTCGCCAATCCAGGTTACAGCTGCCTCTAAGGCATCTAATCTTTGTAAGATTTCTTGGTCAATTTTAGTTTGAGATAGAAATTCAGAAGTTATATTTTGAAAATAGTCATTTACTGTTTGTGCTGTTTGAATAGAATGAGTTAAGGCCACGACTGCAGCAGCTGCAGTAGCAGCCACAGCCGTTACTGGTATTATGGAAACTATTAGAATATCCAAGAATCTCTTAATGCAAACTTGTTCTAGAGTAAAGGTGATTTGCTCTAGGGCAGAATTCCCCATCCACTGTCGTGTAAGGTTTACAGGTAACCAAGCTTCTGCTCTCTGTTTTAGTATGAAAATATAAGATATAAAGAATAGGAACATTAAGATGAGTAATGTAGGGAGTAAACCAAGTAGAATTAGCTGGGAGAGTGATATTAAATTCAGAATTAAAGGAGAAAGAGAAGTTTGTAGATAACATAGCAAATATGTAAGGACAAGAGGTACAAATCATAACTGAACCAATATTATCTTGTGTTATTCATTTTAATTTAAAGGTTGTCGTTTGTCTAATTATGCGAGGGAAAAAACGGGATAGCAAGATGCCAAATTGTTCTTTTAAGGGGAGAGTGATAAGAATTATCTCTTAATCTCAAAATGGAACCAGCCAAACTGGGATTCCAATTATAAGGGGATCTGGAATAATTAAAAGGAAGAGCATAATTCCAAGTGGTGTTGGAATGAAATATTAATAAATTTTGTGGTCCCCAATTTTCTAACATAATATTATTAAGTAATGTTTTTTCAGTAAAATTTACAGAACAGCAAGAGA